AGGGGGACGCTGACTCAATGTAGAAGGAGAACAGAAGTGGGTCTCATCCCAGAAGGAGAGCTGAGTGAATGGCAAAAGGGAGTCAGGGCTCCCTCATGGTCCTCAAAGGAAGGGCATTTTTCTCCTTCAGGAAAACAAAGACAGGGAGTGACTCTGGAAGGAAGCCTTGTTCCCTCACCTTTTGAAGACCACTTGCTGGAGCCTGGTGGCCCCAGCACCCACATGTCTGACATCAGCAAGTTGCATGCCTACCTGTCCCATGGCCATCCAGCTTGTGACCATCTTGATTGGTGTTCTTATAAAAAGAGGAAATTTGGTCACAGATATGCAGAGGCAAGATGATATGAAGGCAGGGGACTGGAGAGCCACATCTATGAGCCAAGGAAGGCCAACGATGGCCAGGAAACCACCAGAAGCTAGAAGAGAGGCCCAGAATAGATTCTGACACCCCACTGACACCTTGATCTCAGACTTCAAGTCTCCTGAACTGTGAGACAGCACGTTTCAGTTACGTCAAGCCCCTCGGTTCATGATCCTGTGTTACAGCAGCCCTGGGAAACTAATTTGGACAGCAAGCTCTTTTCCCTGTGCTGTACAGCTGAAAGAGACCAACAAAGTCCCAGAAGAAAGAAGCCTCTGAGGTTCTCCGGATTCAAGGTGATCATCCCCACTGCAGACCACCAGGAGAACAAGAGCCACTGAGCAGCCGATAGTCTAGGGCCCGTCTGGGCACATCATATTTTCTCTTCCCATTTCATCCTTCCAATACTGTCAAGTGGGAGTGCTCATCACTCCCATTAAAAAAAAAATACAGAGGAGCAGAGGAGACAGAGGAGCATTTAAATAACTTGGCTAGGACAATGCAGGCAGGACCTGCACCTGGCAAGGTGAGATGTGTGTTGTGCCACACCACCTTTGCATGAAGGTAGGGGACTGGAGAGATACAAGGACAGAAGCCACGCAGGACAGCTACAGGTCCTTCCCAGAGGCTCAGGGTGTTGGCGCCACATCTTTGCTCTGGCCCCCTGTATTTTAGACTATGAGGCTCTCTGGCCAGGGAGAGGCTGTGTTTTCCTGGTTTCTTTCACTGAAAAACAACACTGCAGGGAAATAGCCAAACTCTCTGTGAGGATAAGCTGTTAAAAAATCATCAAGTACTTTAAAAGCCCTGATTTGAGCAAATTTTCATCTTGTACAAAGCACTTTCATGTATGTGGCCTACAGCACAACCGCAGGTGGGAATTCTAGTCATTCCTTTGTACCCACAGGCTCCACGTCACAGATTCAACTAAGTGGGAATCAAAAATATACTTAAAATGTTGCATCTGAACTGAACGTGCTCATATTTTTTTCTTGTCATTATTCCCTAAACAATATGGTATAGCAACGATTCACACAGCATCTGCATTGTATACGGTATTATTGGTTGTCTAGAGATGAGTACACTGGAGGACGGGTGTAGGTTTCATGCAAATACTATGACATTTTACATAAGAGACTTGTGCATCCACAAGTTCTGATAACCTTGGGTGGGAGGCATTGGGAGGGGTCCAGGAACCCATACCTTTGTCTGTATTTGAAGGAGTGATGCGTTGCTTTTTGAACTATCCTTAGTTGTGATTGCCCGATACATCACTCTGAAGTGAAAATTCTGCCAAATGGAACTTATTTACAAGGAAGGATGCCTGCAATTTTTACCTAGACGGGGTTTCTACTGCGGATGTTTTAGGTGATATTCTGGCACAGAGTTGGAGTAAAACATTTTCCACAAATGTTTTCTGACTCAACTCATCTTGCAGTTCATTTTTTCCCCCAACTCTGGATGCTCCTCTTGGCAGGGATGGAATTTCTCAACTCCCTTGTCAGGAGATTATCTTTCCAATCAGATTGTGTTGATGTTGGATAATCTGTAAAGACCCTACTTCCAAATAAGGTCACATCGTAAGGCTCCAGGGAGGACAACTCAGCTGTTCCAGACTCTCTTGTGGCTCCTGGTGGGTGGGTGGGGTCTGCTCCCACCCCACACTCCAGATCCTCAGGGACCACCCCAGAAGGGCTGCTGCTCAATGCCTGCTAGATGGACGAGTGGCCTTGACCCAGACTTGGACACGAAGACAGAACTGATTCAGATGATCGGTTCCTGCACTCCGCTGCATTTTGCTAAAAACCTAGACTCCAGAGCCAGACTCTGCCTGGGATGAAAGCCCCTGTGCCTCAGTTTATCCCTCTGTAAAATGGGGATTGTAGCCACAGGGCTATAGTGAGGACTAACTGATGTGTTTTTAAACACTTAGATCAGGGCCTGGCACGTAGCAGGTACTGTATTAAGTGACCTCTCTGGTTATTTGTGCCACTGCTGCTTTTGTTATTATGAATTCAATTAGCCAAAATGGATTGAAGACCATATGTGTGGAGTCAGCTAGACAGGGTTCAAATCTCAACTGTTCTACTTCTTTGCTGAGTGATCCTGGACATTTGACTTAACCACTCTGTGGCCTGGTTTCCTCCTCTGTGAAATGGAAATAATAAAACTACAGATGTCATAGGCTGGGGTGAGGATAGGGCTCTCGTTGCAGTATCCCTCTCACTGTGAGTGCTAGTATCTCCTAGACACTATTCCTATGATTGATACTGCTGTGACTGTGAGGGATACTCCAGCCGCCCTGGGAAAACCTAAGGTCACCTTGAGGCCTAAGATGGGTTCACCATGGCTGGATATACATCTGAGGCTGGAAGGACACTCATGGGGTCAGGTGGCTCCTCTTGTGTGCCCCTGAATTCTCTCTGCCCGCCACCAGAAACCCAGACCTAGAGCTGTGACCTGGTCCTTCCTGGTGACCACGTGGCCTGTGTCCTCTCCCAGCTGCAGAGGGATGCTCCTCATACATTCATCAGATTTCTGGAACCCTCCTGTAGCTTCATTGCTGCGTATCAGTTACAATCCAGCTCTTCACAGGAGCCCTGTGTGCCCTGCCCCTCGCCACATGCCCACTCCTCTGTCCACATGGCCTGTCAGTCCTGCATACCCCTCTCCAGCCCCGCTGTCCTCCTCTCTGTTCCTCCCAACACTCCCAGCCCTGTTCCTTGAAGCCTTCACATCTGCAGCAATGTCCTCACCTGACCCAAGACCCCTGCATGCTGTCTGCTCTACCATCCAGAGCTCTGGCCAAATGTCCCCTCCTCTGGCCACCTGCCACTCCACCCTGCTTACTTTCTTTGAAAAGCTTATCACACCTTGAAACTGCCTTCTGTATTTAGCACATCACAGTCTGCAGGGTTGTCACCACCATGAGGACAGGGTCTCATTTGCTCTTTTTAATTCAAGGGCACCCAGAGAGGGATAAAAGGCAGACAATGACTGTACACAGAAGTGCTCAAGAACACTCAAGAACAAACAAACGGGAAGCCCTGCTTTCAAGTATCCTTTAGAGAGAAGACAACACAACCTTCTTCTATAATAAAACAGATTCCACTCAATGGTGAAATTCCACCATGTAGTTGCCACCGACCAGGGACAAACCCATGAGGAAACCTTCAATCCATCTCAGGAGACAGAGAAGGGACCTGCCACCTCCTCCCTCTGTGGATGGCTTGTAGATAGCTCTCCTCGACCTCCTTCCTCACCCACGCCTGCCAATAACTGCTGGGTTTAGATGCCCATCTTTCTGTTCTGTATTATCAATTGTTTAATATTCAAGAGATGGCATTAAATAAATATGTGAGCAATTATGTCATGTGTTTGAAAACAATCTGGTCAGTCCCAAAGTGCTTGGGTGAGAAATCAAACTTCATAGAGGCAAGAGGTCTGAGTGATCTCTGAGGGAGGAGAGGCACGGCAGCCTGCAGACCTGCTCCTTCCTGGTTCTGCTCTGGGGTTACTCTGTGCAGGTAGGAGCAGGGGCAGGTGGAAGTCTGCTGTATCTTCACAGTCAGAATCTCACAGTTGCATCCTGGATGCAAAGTTGCTACATGGGGTCTCAGTTTACTCGTCTGTGTAAAGGGCCAACTACATCTACTTGGGGAAGGGCAGGTGCTGGGAGGATGTTCTTAAGGAAGATGAGTTGGATCTGATGCTGGAGATGAGTGGTACAAGCTCTGGTTCCTGATATACCATCAAACCGCAAGGTGGGTGGAGCGAGGTAAAAACAGGCCAAAAGGAAGGGCTTCAGGAGCACATAAAAAGACACAGTTGGTTCCAGCAAAGGGCCAGAGAAATCTTATGGAGCTGCCATGTGTGCTAGTTCTGCAAGGTGAATGGCATTTTGACCCCAGGGAGAGGGCTGAACCATTTCAGTAGCACAGATGAGGAACCTAGTGCATAACAAGTATGTTCCAGCTACTCTGGATTATCTTTGCGTAGCTTTTCTAAGATGCCATTCTGGTCTCCATTTTATGGATTAGGTCATGCTGGCTCAGAGAAGCTTCCTCAGTTGCAAAACTGGTATATTTTGAACTCAGATCTGAGTCCATCTCCCAAGCTCTTGATAACCACTAAACATATTATGACCACTCAGCCAAATGACACTGTTGACCCTCTTAGCTCAAGCATGGGTCACAGCAAGCCCACCTCTGAGGATTCATGTGCAGCCCAGATGGTAGGAGAAGGAACCAGGGCCAGATGATGTTACCAGCCTTCATGTGAGCACCAGTCTGTCCTCCCAGGACAGAGGCAGTGTCAGAGTTGCCGGGGTCCCCCAGCAACAGTCAGGGCTGGGGCAGACCCTGGGAATGAAAACCATCTATCACGTGATGTCCTACTGCCTTCTACTTCCAAGTTCTAATTCAACTGCAAAAGGGTTTCCAGGGAGTTTCTCCAAACAGGCCAAATGTTGCACAATGATACATGTGTCTCCAACAGGATGGGCAATGGTAGGTAGCTGCTTTCAAACACTCTGTGCTCCTGCTCAGTTGACCCTCCATTAATAACCCCTGCTCATGCCGCACTTGCTCTCTACTCAGTTTGCCCTCCTCCCCACAACAAATCCCCAGTGTCAACTCACCCCTCCACGTCTTCTGGTTAAACGAGAGGCGTCAGGCCTTGGAAAATGGGGCCCATGTCTTGCTGGCTCTGGGGACTGGGTGACGAAGTTCAACTCTGGAAAAGGGAAGAGATGGATTGGTTAGGGGCCACATGACCTGACTCAGGTCAGGAAGTAGGGTCGGGAACAGTGGCGTGAGTGTCCCCTGAGTAATGGCTCTGGGCTAGGGCCAGTGTTGGGGGTGTAGATGTAGGGAAAACAGGGGTGCCCCTCCCCCAACTCCCCTCAGGGCTGACGCAGCTACACAGGACCCCACCCCTGCCTTCTGTATTGAGATCTGCCCAGGTGGGTTTCACCACTCCCAGGCCCCACGCTCATCTCAGGGCAGCAGGTCCATCTGCTGGTAGGGGTCAAAGTGGAATCTCCCTATTGGTCGCTGGTGTGACTGTGAGGGCAGAGGGGGTATGGTGCAATGGTCACAGGTGTGTGCTCTAGAGAGACAGAGGCCCTTCTTTGGCTGGTGGCTTTGAAGCCCCTGGTTCCCCACATGGAGAACAGAAAGAATACCCATTTCTCAAGATTTTTTTTCTGAGAGGTAATGATATGCATAAGAATATGCATAAATACTTTGGCTTTAGAAAGATTCAATAAACAGCAGCAGAGACCAAATGGATGTTATATGTGTCTTTATTGGCCCCCTTTTATTGATTGGTCTATCTCTCCACTTGTCCATCCATCCATCCATCCACTCACCCATTCATCTATCATTCATCCACCATCTACCCATTTATTTATGTATCACTTTTTTTTAGTTTGAAATAGATATAAATTTAGAGGAAATTGGAAAGAAATGTACAGGGAGGCTCCATGAACCTCCCTCAGACACCCCCCAAATTAACATCTTGCACAACCAGAGCGCATCATCAAAAATAGACATGTGAAATTGCACAATTCATAGACCTAATTCAGATTTTCCAGTTTTATATGCATTTATGTGTGTGCGTACAGCTCCAAGAAATTTTACATGTGGTTTTATGTAATCATCATCACAACCAAGATCCCAAAGTGTCCCATCACTATGAGGCTTCCTCAGGGTACCCCTTTATAGTCATACCCATTTCCTGCCAACTCTCATCCCTGACCTCTAACAACCACCATCCCATTCTCTATCATATTAGTCTTTCAATAATTTAAACATGGAACAAGGCAAGATATAACCATTTGCGGATTGGCTTTTTTTTTTTTTTTAACTTGGCTTAATCCTCTGGAGATTCATCCAGGTTGCTATGCCTATCAATAGTTCATTTAATTTTATTGTTGAGTAATATTTCATGCATGGGTGTGCCACAGCGAGCTTAATCATTTACTCATTTAAGGACCTCTGAGTTATTTCCACTTTTGGGGAATAATTATGTATAATGCTCCTATAAACAATGGTGTACAAGTACAAAGGTTTCACTTATTTGTGATAAATGCCCTAAAGTGCAATAGTTGGGTCACATGATAGTTGCATATTTTAAAAAGAAATTGCTCGGGGCTGGGGTTGTAGCTCAGTGGTATAGAGCTTGCCTAGCATGGGTGAGGCACTGGGTTCTATCCCTCAGCAACACATTACAAAATAAATAAAATAAAGATATGTGTCCATCTACAACTAAAAATATTTTTAAAAAATGATTTTTTTAAAAAAAAAATAAATAAAAAGATATTGTTAAACTTTTCCAGAGTAGTTGTACTATTTTATATACCTACCAGAAATGCATGAGTGACCCAACTTTTCTGCATCCTTGTAGGCATTTGGAGTTGTTATTATTATTTTCCATTTAAGTCACTCTGATAGGTGTGGGATGTTATCTCATTGTGATTTTAATCTGCATTTCCCTAGTGGCTAACCATGTTAAACATCTTTTCATGTGAAATGAAAAAATGAGTCTTCAGAGAGATGACTCTTCATGTCTTTTTCTCATTTTCTAATTGAATTGTTTAATTTTTTTTTTTACTTTTGCATTTATGAGTTTCTTTTAAATGCCAGATACTGTAACCTTCTCAGATTTTATGGTTTGCTAATATTTTCTTCCAGTTTATATTTTTTCAATCTCTAAACCGAGGGGCGTGTGTGTGTGTGTGTGTGTGTGTGTGTGTGTGTGTGTGTGTGTGTGTAAAGCACAAGCTTTTAATTTTGGTGAAGTCCAATTTATCATTTTATTTTTCCTTTTATGGACCATGCGTTTGGTGTCAAACATAAGAACTCTGCTTCTTAGCCCTAGATACTGAATATTCTTCTCTTGCTTTTTTTCCTAAATGGTTTATAGTTTTTGCATTTTGCCTTTAAGTCTGTGGTCCACTTGGAGTTAATATTTAAAAAACTTAGACTTAAGTTGACATTATTGTTATTATTATTGTTTTGCCTATGGATGTCCAGTTGCTCCAGCGTCATTTGAGATAGACTGTGATCTTTCCTCCACTGAATTGCTTTTGTTTCCTTGTTAAAATCTTCTGGGCATGTTGGTGTGGGTGATTTCTGGCCCATCTATTTCATTCCATTGATCTATGGGTCATTTTTCTGCCAATCCCATTTGGGCTTGATTTCTGCATAATGAATCTTGAAATCAGATAAACTTATTCTTCTTTTTCAAAACTGTGTTAGTATTCTAGCTCCTCTGGCATACCACATGAATTTTAGAATAGTCTTTTCAACATCTACATAAATATTGTTGGGATTTTGATAGGAATCGCAGAGAAGTGATATCTTTATTATATCTTCCATTCATGAATACAGTGCTACGTCTCTTCCTTTACTTAGATCTTTGATTTCTTTCATCAGTGTTTTACAGTTTTTAGCGTACCAATCCTATAAAAATTTTGTCAAATTTACCCTTAAGTGTTTCATTGCTTTGAGTGTTGTATAAGTGGCACTCCAATTTTTATTTTGGTGTCCACATGTGCATTGCTAGTACAGAGAAATGCACTAGATTTTTATACGTTTATCTTGGGTCCTGGGACTTTTCTAAATTCACCCATGAGTTCTGGAGAGGTTTTGTTCATTTATTCCTGTTTGTGTGTGTATTCCTTGGAACTTCTTATGTAGACAATCAAGTCATGTGCAACCAGGGAGATTTTATTTCTTAATTTGCAATTCTTATGCCTCTTCTTGTCTTCTCTTACTGAACCAGCTTGGACTTCTAGCACTATGTAAAGTATAAATGGTAAAATTTGGCATTCTTGCCTTATTCTCATTCTTAGGTGAAAAGAGTCAGTTTATAAGTACTTAGTATAATGTTAATTGTAGTGTTTTTTTTTTTCAAATGCTCTTTATTAACCTGAGGAAGTCCCTACTATTCCCATTTTTCTGATGACTTTTTCATGAATGGGTGTTGAATTTTCTTTTCATTCATTGACAGATATAATTACTGATATTCCTTCTTTAGCCTATCAACATGATGATTTATACTGACTAATTTTTAAATGTTGAACCAACTTGTATCCCTGAAATAGGTTCCCCTGGACCATGGTGCATAATTCTTTTCATACATTGTTGAATTCTATTTATTAATGATTTATTAAAGACTTTCACATCTATATTCATGAAGGATATTGGTTGGTAGTTTTTTATTTTTGTTTTTGTTCTTTTTACTATTTTACGGTTTTGATACTAGCTTCATAAATTCAATTTGAAAGTGGCCTTTCTCTACTTACTGGAATACATTGTAGAGAAATGGTGTTAAATTTCAAACATTTGATTAAGTTCTCCAGTAAAATTATCTGATCTTAGGGATTTCTTTTGAGGGAATTTTAAAATTACGGATTCAATTTAGTAATTATAAGAAAATTAAATTCAAGTTATTCATTTCATATTGGATGAACTGGAAGAGTTTTGCGTTTTTCAAGGCATTAGTACCATTTTCAATTTCTCAGGTTTATGTGAGTAGTGTTATTCATCGTATTCTTTTCCTATCAATGCCTGCAGGGTCTGTAGTGATGCCCCCTATTTCATTCTTGATTTTGGTCATTTTTCTGTTTCTGCCTCTCTGATTAGTATTGCTTGAACTCTGTCAGTGGTATATTGATCCTTTGAAAGAACAGTTTCTTTGTTTCATTGATTTTCTTGTCTTTCTGTTTTAGATTTTTGATCTTCTCGTTATTATTTTCTTTCTTAGGCTTTATGATTTTCCTTTCTTTGGATTGAGATTATTTTTCTCTTCTTTTTAAAAAGTTTTTTCCCCAAATGGGAGTTAGGACTATTGGTTTGAGGCTTTTTATCTTTGTGAGTAATGCCTAATGCCATAAAATTTCCCTCTCAACATTGCCTTAGCCATGTCCTACAAACTTTGATATGTTGTGTATTTATTTCTATTAAGTTCAACATATTTTAAAATTTATATTTAGACTTTCTCTTTGAATCATGAGTTATTTTATGTATATTATTTAGTTTTCAAGAGGTTGGAAATTTTCATGTTATCCTACTATAATTTTTATTTTGATTCCATTATGGTCAGAGAAAATATGCTCTATAATTTCAACTCTAATTTGCTGAAGCAAGTTTTATGACCCATCTTAATGATCAATCTTGGTACGTTATCTTTGAAAGTTTAAAAAGAATGTGTATTCTGCTGTTATTTGGTGTAGTCCATAAATATTATTAGATCCTGTAGTTCATGTTGTTGTTGAGTTAGTTGTTCTATCAGTTATTAAGAGAGGGGTGTTGAAGTCACCAGCTGTAATTGTGGCCAATTTTATCAGTTTTTGCTACACATATTTCGTAGCTCTGTTGTTTTGAGTATACACATTTCGGATTGCTATGTGTTCCTGATGGACTGATCCTTATATTAAAATAAGATATCCTCTCTAGTCCTAATAATTTTCTTTACTCTGAAGTCAACCATTTCTGATATTAACATAGCCACTCCTACTTTCTTTTGGTTAAAATGTGCATGATATAATCTTTCTGTCCTTTTACTTTCAGTCTTCTCATATAGTATTTGAAATATCTCATAGACAGTGTATAATTGGTCATGCTTTCCAATCCATTCTGCTAACCTCTGTCTTTTGAATAGCATTTTGTTCACCTATATATAATATAATTATTGATATGTTAAGGTGTAAATGTGCCATTTTATTT